ATGTGGTTTTAGGTCAAAGTCTAAAGGTTCCCAAATTGCTCCTTACATCCTTGTCCATCACAGACTAGTAAGGCACCCTAATCCTCACCCATTACAGGCTACAAGCGGAAAAGGTTCAATTTGAGTGGGAGTATTTCGCTAGCCACTGCGGAGGTATTAGACCTCACGAAAGCAATAGTTACTTTACTCCCTCCTAGAGGGACGGAGCTCGGGTGTAGAACTCATGTTATGCACATGCACATGAATGACATAATTAACAAGATAAATAAACAGGAATGAATAATAACACATATATACAAAAATGGTTCAATTTCCTTTGGCTTTTGGACAACACAAATTATTTGCTGGCCTGACTCTCAAGGTCCCCAGTGGAGTCGCCAAGCTGTCATAACGTCTAGATCCGGGGATCTATCGCCAGACATTGACTTTAGGGAGTCGCCACCAATCTTTTTTTATCCAGGTGTGATTGGCCACCTAAGGAATCTGCCCTTTTAGGGAACACCTAAGCTTAAGGGTCCCTAAAAGAATAGGTTCGGGTCTGCTTAACCAGAACAGAGTTCGGGAGTTCAGTTACGTGTGAGGAAGGTTATAGCACCCTCACAACGCCCATCAAAAGATGGTACCAGCTTGAATTTGTGTTATCCAAAAGCCTTAAAATTTTACCAAGTAGTTAGTTGTTGAAAATTATTCTCAATTGACTCTAATACTTTTAGCAGAAAATTGAGAAAATTCCCTCACCTCAAGAGTATGCAAGAAAAACTACTGTTTCACTTGCAGAGGCTCCGTCGTCGGATTAATTAAAGAAAAATCAAGATCAACCAATTAATTAATTATCGAAAATTATTCTCAATTGACTCTAATACTTTTAGCAGAAAATTGAGAAAATTCCCTCACCTCAGGAGTATGCAAGAAAAACTACTGTTTCACTTGCAAAGGCTCCGTCGTCGAAAAAAAAAATCAAAATCAGCCAAGTAATTAATTATCGGAAATTATTCTCAATTGACTCTAATACTTTTAGCAGAAAATTGAGAAAATTCCCTCACCTCAGGAGTATGCAAGAAAAACTACTGTTTTTACTTGTAGAGGCTCCGTCGTCGGATTAATTAAAGAATAAAGAAAAAAAATCAAGATCAAAATCAAAGTCAAATAAAAAAAAAAAAAAAAACCTGGAGCGGCTCGGCTCGGCTCGGCTCGGAGGGCTGAAACGCGTGGGTCAGAAAGCGGGTCGACGCTTCGGGTCGGGTCGGGTTCGGCAAAACGCGCGGATCCTCTTATTAACTTAAAGCCAAAATGACGTCGTTTTGGGAGGGTATAAAAGGCACCTTCCTCCGTTTTTCAGCAGACCGTTCCTCCCCTCTCTCTCTCTTCTTCCCTTCTTCTCTGCCTTCTCTCTAGAATTTGAAGAACGCCGGTGCCGGATTCTGGAAATTTCGCCGGAATCTGGGAATTTCGCCGGAAATTGGCCGGAAGTTGGCCGGATGGTCGCCGGTTTCTGGGATTCTCCGCCGGAAACTGGGTCTGTCGCCGGAAACTTCAAAGTTCACCGGAATTGTCGTCGGAAAATTCAAAAGTCGCCGGAATTTTCGCCGGAATCTGGAAATTTCCCAGAAATTTCCAGAAAATTTTTTCGCCAAATTTTTCGAAAAAATTTTTCTCACTGCCAGAACACTCCTAAACTTTTCCTTAGCTCTCTAAACACCCCTATTCTCTCAATCAGTAGCTTTTGCTTCTGTTTTCTGTGTGTCTTGACTGTTCCAGGGGGGTTCCTTTTATAGGGATTGATCAGGAGTTTCTGATCAATCCCAATTCCTCTTTGGACGGGAATTCAGTTTTTGAATCCAATTGGACTCTTCTGATTGAATTCCCCTTCAGAGTGGGAGTCTTCAACTTTGAATCCTAGCCCTCCAAAATAAAAATTAAAATAAAATTAAAAAAAAAAATCTAGATAATTGGAAAGATAAATCAAAAGATAAAAAATTTTCAAATAATATCTGAAAATCAAAAAAATCAGAACAGATAATTAAAAATAATAATAATAATAATAATAAATATATAACTATATACATATAAATCTAATCTAATAAAAAAAAATAAATAAATATATACATAATAATAATAATAATAAAATACATAAAATACAAAAGAAGAAAAAGAAAAGAAAAAAAAAATACAGGATTGAATTGGGCCTTACCCGTTTGGGTCAGGCCCAATTGATCTGGGCCCGGACTCAATTGGGTGTCTACATTTTTAAAACGCCTTTAATAATCCATACAAAAAAGTTGTAATGGATTTTTGCAGGTATTTTTTGCCCAAAACGCCTTTAATATTTCACATAATAAAATTTTTAGTGGGATTATTAAAGGCAGTTTTGGTAAAAAAACTCTTTCATTAACATTTTGTTATGGATGATTCAAGGCATTTTCTTGCTAAAAACGCCTTCATTAATCCCATCAAATATACATATTTGATATTGTATATGTCAAGTAAGTTATAAGTTTGTGTCCAAAAATCGTTTGAAGTCAATTGTATATTTATGCCAAGAAAACATTTAGTTTATATATGTGATACTACGAATTACATTTTGAAATTTACATTATGAACATTGTTATATTTTAATATATTGATCACACATCCAAAATTAAAATTGATAACGTTGTCATATTAATATACTTTTATGAAATAATCATACATAATAATATATTAAATACATATAGTGTATTCATATTAAGTATACCAATAATATTAAACCAATAACCCAATGTACAAACTTAAAGTTTTCATTCAGCATGGCATGTTAAAAATATTATAATAATTTGTTCATCATATATTTACATTCAACCAACAATGTCTAACCCTAAGGTTTATCAACATTGATAAATGATAATACATACTCACACCATTGTTTATGGACTTCATCCAATTCCTCTTTCATGAAGCTTTCTTTACTCTCTTACTAAAAAAAATATCATAAGTAAATACTAATAAATGAAAACATAATGTACCTTTTTATTTTTTTAAAGATATAACGAGTTTATGAAATTTATACTAACCTTAAATGGTGTGGTCATAAAATCATCTAACACTATCTCTCACATAAAACGAAAGATATAATATCTACATTCAATATTACTGAGTTGACGAGATACCTAAAAATTAAATTAAGTGGGTTTAAGAAACATTTATCTACACAAACTTAGTATAAAATAATAAATTTCACATTTACTGGTAATGACACCCATTTCAATTTCTTTGTCTTCTTATAAAATGTAGATATTATCCTAAATTGAAAAAAAAAATACTTAATACATAAATAAAATTACTTATGAAGAAATAGAAGATATATAATATAATAAAGTATAATACTTTTTTATAAAAGTTTGAATATCAGGGTTAGATATTGCTGTTGGATTAACTAAATTAAGTATGGCGTTAAAGATTTAGTGTTAATCACAATAAGCACCCAATGATGACTGTAAAATAATAACAATAATATACTTAGATTACGAATTAGATCATATTTGGATAAGGTTAGAATATATCTTATTGCATAGTACACAAGAGCAAATAACAATCAACTAGTCTTTTCATGCATTGGATCACATGATTAGCACGATAAGCGACTGTATCACTCTGCTCACTAATGAAGTTCGGGTCAATGAATCTAAATATGTTGGTCAACGAATCTAAATCTGTTGGTCAACTGTCTTCCCTTGAGCTCTCTATATAAGAAGCTGTATGATAACAATCAATACTACTAGTTAGTATTACACTTTAATATAGATTACTACATATTGAATATACATATTTATATTTATAAGCTAATCTCATATAAGCAACGTTATCAACAGTTGATAATTCATCCAGCTCATAAAATTCTTTAACCTCCTTCACACCAATGAAAAAAAATGATGGCTTATCAAATAACCCTTCCTCAAACTCAATGATTATGAAGTTTGCTCTGGATAAATGCTCTAACAAATATTTGGATAACTTATCCATGGTAGCCTGAACAAAGGTCCTACTGTGAGTCTGAACATCCTACTATAATATTTAATGAAATATAAGTATTAAAATCAAATCAATAAATATAATAAACAAATTAATATTAAAATTATAAACAAAATCATACTTTTTAGGTGGTTGCAAAGATTGATCGTTTTTTACTTGCAACGAAAGCTTTTCTGACGTGAATAATACTATCAGAATGGCCTACTAACATGTTATACTGCATTATTGTCAACATGGACTCCAAATCAGTGAGTCTTTAATGTTGCTCATTGAGGCGTTACTCTTGGTCATCAATTCGTTACTGTTGTTGCTCAATGATTATTTCATATTGTGCATTTCTCATTCATGAGGTTTTGTATTGATTAGCAAAAACTTTAATGGCAAGATAAATTTATCAATCCCATGAACCCGACCAAGCATTTTTTTAGCGCTTAATGCTAAAAATAGAGGATCTTTGTCATATTAGGTTGTCAGTTCATCAGATTTAACTTTGACAGCATAATCATCTTGAAAGACAACAATAAGATGGGATATAATAACAAATCTACACAAGCTAGTATACAGTCATGCATACAACTAAAATGTCAATCATACATTATATTAAAAAAGCAGTTATACATATAATCTTTTTTGTCATTTCTTCGGTTGCTTCATCTGTAAAGGATCCATTCTTTCGTAGATGTCTTTGTTTTCAGACGTCCCATTTGAAAGCTTCGATGCCAAAGCTCATTGATTTCTATTAAATTATCGTAATAAAAGAATCATAATGTATGAAATAAATGTTCTTAAATATTCATTAATGAGTATAAAATAAATGTGCAAATACATATAAGCTCACACTTCACATTTGTATATCTCTTTCTCGCTATCCGATGGTGATATTGTTGTTTGATCTGAATATTTTTTAATATCATGTATTTAATTTTCAGGTACCTCGTTAATCCGGTAATACTGAATGTGAATATTATGTCCTTCATTTTATACAAAAGATAATGTTAGATGATTTTATGATCACACCATTTAAGGTTATTATAAAATTCATAAACTCATTATATCTTTAAAAAAATATACATTACATTATCATTTATTAACATTTACTTCTTTTTTTTTTTTTAGTGGGAGAGTAAAGAAAGTTTCACGGAAGAGGAACTGAATGAAGTCCGTAAAGAATGGTATGAACATGTATTATCATTTATCAATATTGATAAACATTGAGGTTAGACATTATTGGTTAAATGTAAATATATAAAGAACAAATTGTTATAATATTTTTAACATGCCATGTTGAATAGAAACTTTAAGTTTGTACATTGGGGTATTGGTTTAATATTATTGGTATACTTAATATGAATATACTATATGCATTTAATATATTATTGAGTATGATTATTTCAGAAAAGTATATTAATATAGCAACATTATCAGTTTTAATTTCGAATGTATGGACAATTTATTGAAATACAACAATGTTTATTATGTAAATTTCAAAATGTAATTCGTAATATCACATATATAAATCAAATGTTTTTAGGGCATAAATATACAACTGACATCAAACATTTTCTGGGCATAAACCTATAACTGACTTGACATATACAATATCAAATATGTTTGTTTAATGGGATTAATGAAGGTGTTTTTAGCAAGAAAATGCCTTGAATCATCCCTAACAAAAAATTTGAAAGGCATTTTTTTCCAAAACTATATTCAATAATCCTACTAAAAATTTTATTATGTGAAATATTAAAGGCGTTTTGGGTAAAAAAAGCCTTCAAGAATCTATTTTAACTTTTTTGTATGGATTATTGAAGGTATTTTTTAAAAAATTACCATCAATAATACCAACTAAAAATTAAACGAATGGATTATTAAGGGTATTTTCCTACGGTAACTCTTTAAATAATCTCTAATAAAATGTTATTAAAAGCATTTTTAAAAATAACCGCCTTTAATAATCTTACTATTTAAATTTATCGTCTAGAATATTAAAGGTGTTTTGAGCTAAAAATGCCTTTAAATATCCCTTTCAATTTTTGCTATAGATTATTGAAGGTATTTTTGACAAAAATCACCTTTAATAATCACAAATAAAAATTTATTGATTGGATTATAAAAGGTGAGTTCGACAAAAAAAGCCTTGAAGAATCGGTTTCATATTTTTCCTATGGATTATTAAGAGCATTTTTTTATAAAAAATGCCTTCAATATTCTTTGTAGAATTTTTTAAAGCAATTGGTGAATGCGTTTTTGTCAAGAAAACGTTTAAAATAATCAATTACAAATAATCTCTGCAAAAACCCAAAAAAGACTAAAGCGAGGGATCGAACCTACCATCTTATAGTTAACATTTATACGATTTAAAAATTTTGATATAATATTTATTAAAGGCGTTTTTAAACAAAAATACCTTCAATAAGCCTATGAAAATTTTTTAGTCCAATTATTAAATGCATTTATTATAGAAAATACCTTAAATAATTTCATATTTTTTTTATAAGAAGATTATTGAAGATGTTGTTTGCTATAACACGCCTTTAATAATTTTCAATCAATTTTTTTAACTGAATTATTCAATGTGTTTTTTTACCAAAAATACTTTTAGTATTTATTGAAATTTTTAAGGTAAGATTATTCAAGGTGTTTTAGTCAAAAAAACGTTGTTAATATCAAATTTTAGATGACGTTTATAACTAACAATGTTACTATTTGAATATTTAGTGACAGTTTGATAATAAATACATTAAATTTTATAAAAATATAAAAATTAATGGTATTTGCAAGTGAAAGACTATTATAAAATTATCGCTATTTTTTCATTTTCTTACGGTGAAAATCAACAAATCTGGACATGACACATGAACTGTACTGAAGAACTCCGATACTGTTCCAATTTTTTTTATTTGACTCATAGTTGCCTTCGTACGAGTAGGAAGATTCCGTGGAGAAAATATTTTTTAATATTCATCCTCATGTATTAGAAGGATCAATGATGACAATTATAGCTAGTAAGTAATGCGAGTTTTTTTTTTTTTCCCAATTTCCATCGTTGGAAATTTTTTGGTTGGCTGAACTCAAAACCAACGTTAAATCAAATCTTTTATGAATTTATGTTGGTGCGGTGGCAGTGATACTGTTTTTATCCAAAGTAAAACAAGAGGACCCCAAAATGGTGGACATTTCCACTGTAATATATCTTTGAAAGCCACTTGATCTTTCGATCCCTCCTTCACAGATCTGTATTATCCATCAAATTAAGACCATGCTCCTCATCTACTGGGGTCTTATTCTAATAATCGGAACCATGGCCATTGCAATTATAGTTTTCACCTTCGTCATGATGCGAAGTTGTGCCAATCCTCTCCGGTCATCATCATCTCTTCCAAGATCCACCAGCCGTCGTGGGGAGAAGAGTTCATCAGCTCGGTTGAACCTCAGCCCTTATTCAGCTTCCTCGTTCAAGTTTAAGAAAGGGCTGGAAAACGTAGAAGCAACTGATCAGGTAATGATGGAATGCGTTGTTTGCCTGTCAAGATTCGAAGATGATGAAGACTTACAACAGCTTCATAGGTGTAAACACTCGTTCCATGCGCCTTGTATTGATATGTGGATGTCCTCTCATTCCAATTGCCCAATTTGTCGAACCCCTGTCGATCGACGGGCTGCTCTTGATTTCACATTGGATGACAACTCCTCCACCATGGAGGTCTTGACAGATATTAGCATCTCACCTTAATTAATGCAAATTTGTGCAAAACTACAGGTTAGCTTTTCCATGAATTGCTGAGATAGTAGTTCATTTGTGCAAGGTTTTGATTCTGTGTAAAAATATTTTTGATCATTGATACTAATTGTTGTGATAATTAATGTTGATCTTGACCCAAAAAAAAAAAGATAATTAAAGTTGATGGTTACAGCCTTTTTATATTTTTTTTGTGTAATTTATTTTGTTTATAGTCTAATAATTAGAAATCGATGTTTAAATCAAGAGAACCAAAAATTTTCAACTTCTATGCATAACTAAAATAAAGTTTAATTTCTTGATTAATTAGTAGTATAAAAAAATTAAATCATAAGTTGAAATTGACACGTATATTATGAAGTATGTATAAATTATTAAACTCAATATACAGTTGATTTTGAAAAATATTAAACATGTGCAAAGTTTACGTAAGGAAGTTGATCCTTACTCATAGTTTGATAACGAAATTAATTAGTTTAGGTTCCATTTCGTTGAGACTATTACTGTTTGTTTTTATTATTTGTTTCTTGTTTGCATTTTTAATTTATTTTTATTATAAATAATAAAAAAATAAAACACCAATCAAACGAAAGTTTCATTATATACTTTGCAATGTACGTTAAAATACATTCAATCGTGAAATATTGTGAATGAATATATAGTTGGTAAAAAAAATCATTAAAAGATTAAAACTAATACTTATATTATTTATTCTTTCATACCTTAAAATATTAATACCTAAATAGTTATAATATTTATGACGTAATAAAATCTCCCTTGTAATTTCTATCTTCTTTTGCGGCCAAAAGAAAATTTATCATTTTTCCAAGATCAAATAAATTATACGAAAACTCCAAAGAGATTTGGATTGGGTCCATTCAGAGTTGCTATTAGGCTTTTTCATAGATATTGGGTTTCATTATCAACCAGCCCAATGTCCTACCAATAACTATTTCAAGATTATCCAATTCCCTCTTCTTCTTCTTTTTTCCCCTCAAATTTTACAGAAAATTATGGTCTCAAATATCACTTCACGATTTTCTCAACGGTATTACAACTAAGTCTTTATTAATAGCCAAGGCCAAGTTCCACTTCAATCCTATGGACTGAACACTTTTAATAAGGATTCAGGAATATGTCAGAAAAGTTTAAATGTTTGTCTTACCATAACATTTTTTCCCTTATAAAATAATAGGTTTAAATTTAAAACCCTAACTCTCTTTAATTAATTGCCGGTTGGATTTGTTTTTGATACACTGATAATAAAATTTTTTAATTATTTATTTTATTTTTATTATATTTTAAAAATATATATCATTTTATTAATTTTAACTAAAAATGATAATTTTTTGTCATTGATTTGCAATCAAGATATTGTGAGTTGAAAAAATGCCTAGATGTATGAAAGCACAATGAAGCAAGGTTGTTTATAGGCAAATATTGAGGAGATAAATTATATTTAAAATTCATAAGAATATATCAAAGAATCTATATATATATATATGTTAGACACCATTTGAGTCCAAAAACTTAAATTATTAAGTTTTTGAGTTTTTTATGTATAAGATTTCTTAATAATATAGGATTCCTTACTCATATATGAACTATATTCCAACAATCTCCCTTATTCACTTGTGAGTTCTAATCAAGTCCCACTTTGATTTCCTATGTAAGTAAGCTTACTAAGACCTCTTTTAGGCCAAGCAATCTCACATTTTTAATGCGCTTTTGGGTCAGATCACAACACTCAATCTTGCCACTCAGATTATCTCAATACTCTCTTAAGCTTACATTTCAAGTTGACTAAACAAATTGTCCACTTAGATGTTTCATTTTTGCATATTATCGTATACTCATTGCATCAAAGTCGAACCTTTTAATACCGATGCTAATCTGTCAATAATCTCCTCTAACAACACCACCGAGACTCGAATCCGTCGTAACATTGGCTTAAGCACACGGAGTTGTTGGACATGGCTAATCTCTAATCTGCCAACAATCTCCTCTAGCAACACCTCCGAGACTCGAATCAATCCTACCTCGACTTCTTTGTGCAAGTAAATTCTATTAATATCTCATTTAAGTTAAGCAACCTTACAACTTTAGTAAGCTTTTCGGCTAGGCCACAACACTCGACTTTACCATCTAGATTGTCTTATATTCTAGGTTGACTCAACATTTCATCCACTTTTATGTTTCACTTTTGTATATTATTATATACTCATTGCATCAAAATCAAACTTTTTAATACCGATGTTCGAACACGTAAAATTGATAAATATGATCAATCTTCAATATGCCAACGAAACTTTTTCTCTTATGGTAAGAATATTCGATTTGCATAGGTGCATTCAAGTTCAATCCAACTCTATACATGGCATTACATGGGAGTCAATTATTAACTTAGTACTAAACACAATGTAAAGCAGCTGGCAAAATATCCCAGGGCCTAGTTAGTGACAAAGATTTCTTATTATCCATATAGGATGCATTCTGTTCAAAACTCAATTTTTGGCCAAACAAAAGGGTGTGTGACTCTAATTAATCTATTTTTGAACCTGACAAATCTCTATCGATATAACAATTAAATTATTATTATTATTACCGAAATGATATAGGAAGTGATATACCGAGCTATGGCCCATCCTCAATGCCCCAGTGCGAGAGTCAGACCCATAACATTAACGGCCCCAATCCATACATCCTACCTCAGAGACAGAGGCGCAGAGCTCAGCTCTGCAAATAATTTTGAGAAGCTATTGGAAAACCATGAGAAGTGCCACTGCCAGGACCGGCTATATAACTATATTAGTCTTATCAATGTCTATATGAATATTTTCCATTACTTACTTATCAATTCCATAGCGCAACTGTCCCCTTTCGTTTCAGAAGAAATTGAAAAGAATAGATACAATTTTTCCCATACAGACAAAAACTCAAAACCTGATCAATTTTTCCTCGCCATTAATGGTACGCCAGTAGATACTAATCCTTGCACTCGCAAGTCAAGTAATTATGATTTTCTATCCAGTGACCGTAGTGATCAAAGCCATAACAATCAGACAAAACTTCAAATCAATCTATATCACAAAGACAGATACCTAAATATTTTTCATCCTAATTATTAGATGTTAACATGCCAATTCCCATGAAGACCAAGCCAAACCTACAACTATGGTCACATCTTTCAACGATAAAACTAATTTTTCATGGAAATTTTTATCAAAAATATAATATCATTTTTTTATCAACAGTTACATGATTTCAAATAATAACAGTCTCAAATATAAACAATTTTTTTTTTTGTGGCTATTAATTTCGCCGAATCAGTATTCAAGTGGCTAATAGGTCGTAGTCTCAATGAATTGTGACGAGGACTCTCTCTAACTTTCAAGGAAAAAAAATATTTGCCTTCTTATTTTGGGAAAATGGCCAAAATTATTCAAATTTAGGCGACTGTGCACTCCAAACACATGGTGGTATTTTATACAATGTTCAAATTCACCGAAATTTTGGCCCCTGATCTGGCTACATGATCGCCTGCGTATCTGTTGATAATACAGCTTCCAACTTCGTCCCTGATGTTGAATTTACTTAACTAGTTATCTTCGTGCTGTATAAGCTTTCTAGGAAATCTTCCTCCATTAGGTCCCATAAAAGGCAACATTTAATTGGATTCGTTACAAGATTATTTCTCTGGTGGAGATATCATTTTCTCTTGAAGTTAATATCATAGAAAATTTAAATATATATATATATATATATATACTGGAAGAAATACATTTATATTAATATAATTTTTAAATTTTTAAAATTTTTAGATTAAAATCAAATGCATGACTCATTTGAATTAAAATAATATTTTTAAATTTAATAATTTTGATCCAATGATCTAAAATGTATAAAAATTACACAAATACAAATAGATCCTCATTATATATATAACTAAAAATAGTGTTTAGGACTTATGATCATTTGATTCCATAGTAATTTTTTCTTAGGAAATGTTATATACACTTTCTAAAAATATTATTTAAAAACCCATAGTATTTTTATAATTAAAAAAATCACATCAATTAATTTTAAATTAAAAAATACCCTTTAACGTTAAAAAATGTTTTTAAAGGACGAACTTAGCGGTTCCCTTTTTTGAAAGAAAATTTTGATTGTACAGTGATTAATACGAATATATGGATAAGAAAGAAAAAAGGGGTTATCTCTAATTATTAAATACTACAGTTTATGATGGGTTATTGAAAAGGAGAAATGATGTTCAAAGTATGAATCCAATGCAGGAAAAGAAATAATGCTAACCTAAGATAGCGACCCATGAAGCTTTTTTTTAGATGGTATAGCTACGAACATATTAAGCGATCAAAGGCAGGCAATGGTGGGGCATTAAAGCTTTAGTCTTTAGCCTCTGTGGCTACCGCACACATGAATTTTGCTTTGCTGAAATTATTAGCTCTTTCCACTAAGGGTTTCACACGTCAACGTGCATATATGTGACAGTAGCAAAACGCATGAACTATATGTAACGATAGGCAATTAAGCTAGGTGGTCACCACAGTTGCCATTGCTTGCTTTTTCCACAAGTTTTTATCTGGCTTGAAAAGATGCAGGCCACTGTCATCCCAATTAATTCTATGTCCAAAATATATCAGCCCCTTGCTGAAACTCAGGGGTCGTGCATCGAGTCCTTAAACATCATTTTCTCCATACTAATCGTAGCGTCAAACCCATAGCTTGGTTGATTTTAGGCCGTCACTGTTCCATTGATTTTACCAACTAATCATCATGTGAATTTGCAGTCTCTCTGACTGAGATTGATAAGCCGACAACCACTATATTTTATACTATTTGTTTCAAACATTATGTTCAAAATCACGACTACTGCTGACATATGAGCTTAGAAATTTACAAGACCATTCGGGAACCTAGCCTTTGAATTTTCTTTCTAAATGGCTTGGAACTGCCAATAGTGTGATTTCATT